TTTTTTTTTTTTTTTTTTTTTACCCATCAGATCCTTGAACCACGAGGCCAGCTTGATTGCGTTTATTCCCCCATTGCTGTCTGTCACTACCATCTGGATCTTGTCGTCGTATCGTTTTGAAACTATCACTTTCACACCACTGAACTCGGCCTGTTGAAATTGTAAAACAAATGCGAGTTCTTTTTGTTCAGGAATAAAATAGCAGTGTAATTATATATCACACTGATAAAATTTATTAGAAATCCCAGCTTGACTTTGCACCTCGCAACATGCACACATAGGCCTTCCATTTGCATTAAAAAAATTGGTGAACACTATTACTGAAATGAAATCTTCACTATTACAATCATTAGCTACTACTGCTACTACCTCAGAAGCCACTTTGTCCAACGCTGTTCGACGAATTTTAACCAGTTCGAAATTCACATTATAGGTCATCAGTAGCAAGGCGCCTAAAATAGATTCGAATATTTTTGTATTTCTGAACGTTTACAATCTCCTGAATATTTTTTTAAAAAGTCATTTTTAGTGTGAAAACAACCTTGCACTCTTTATCTCTATCAGTTTATGTCAAGCCATCTCCTTTAATTTGTTACATCTGCTCTCTTTAATTTAAAAAAAGTTAAAGATGTAATGAACAGGAAACGTTTATTTGAAGAAGACCATGATTTAGAGTAAGATTTCTTTGAGCTTTAAATTTTTTCCGACTGGTCTAAGATAGTATTAATTTCTGGTGACTTACCACAGAGTGAGCAACAGTGGCCTACAGGAGTGAAGGGTGAAGTGCATGGGGTGGATCCACATCGTGATCTTTGGAAGGAGCAAACTTTGTTAAGAATCTGGAAATTTTTGGAATAGTCTTATATATATATGTGTGTGTGTGTGTGTGTGTGTTTGTGTGTGTGTGTCCGGTTATACGGTTATGTTGTATAGGTCAGACTGAACAACGTAAGGGCTTCTGGTGTGATAAGATGGATAGATATATACCATAGCACATATAGATATTCACCATAATACATGATATGTATCCAGTCTCCTTAGGTAAGCAAACAATAATAATGAAATGAAGAAAGTGTGGCTGAATTTCAACTTAATAGCTCACCGCCCCTCTGTCATTTCCACATGGACATCCGGTGGCGTTGTTGCAGTACCCCCGGTGAATTGTCACGTCGTTGGCAGACGATGCAAGCACAAACTGTTTCTTCCCTAAGTCACTGGTTAGGAACTGTTTAAATTGCTCAGTGTCATAAACCTGAAATTAAAATAAAGCAAATTTGCGAGCTATTTGAACAAATTTTGGACAAGAATGAACATTTTTTTTTATTATTCAATTTTTGTCGTCGAAACAAAGCACAGCAAATGCAACTCTTTGAATTACCTACTGATCCTGCAAGTGCTTTGTTAATAGAGTGCCAATCCAGCCTACCGTATATCCGATCCTGAGGCTCCGAATGCTTATCTCTACGTCAGTATCTAAGCTGACGTAGAAGGTTTTGTCACTGGGGAAGATGACGTCATCGTTACGGCAAGGTACTTTTTCGCTGTCAAAAGATCAACATCCAAGCACTGGGCATCAAAGTCGTGCAAAGGAATACACCAATTATCTGGATCATACCAATGTTTTGGCTGAACTTGTGCGAAATGAACATCTAAAATACATTGAAATCTTGGTTATGGGAGTTAAATGAGATTTGTAATGTGGGGACTTGATTGCAGGGAATTTTGCACTCATGTTTGGATTTAAGATGAACGTTTTACTTAATAGCAAAAAGAATATCAATGATCGATACATCAATATTTAACGGTTGACTTTGAACACCAAATTTCAATTGGCATATCTTTTAAATAGTTATACAAATTGAACACCATACAGGAGACATATCTGTATCAAAGTATTTGTGAGTAATAGAAGAGCTTATATAAAAACCTATCCTTTAATTGGTGAAAAATAAGATATACACGAGAGTTTCACAAGCGGCTGTGCCACTTACCTCCCTCCGGACAGCTGTCATCGTTGGTGGGGTAACTGAGGAACGAGATGCTCAGGTCACGCTCAAACACAAACAAACCATCAGATGGAAACACCTACAAAAATGGGAGAAGATGTCATTTATTTTCATTCTTAAATCAGACACAAGGCTCATACAGTTAGGTTGTATAATTCAGATACCTGCACATTTTATCGGATTCGTTGTGATTATTTATCAAAGATATGTCAAAACAAAGAGATCGTAAATACTTCCAAAAGTGCTACTGTACTTTTCCTTAAGTTTGCTTTGAAAATCGCCAAAACTGTTAAGGCAGATTAAAGCGGTCATTATAGCGAAACCTACCATTTCTCTTAACGTCATGTCCTGGTCGAAGTAGACCGCGGGCGCGGATGCCGGGAAAACAATTTTATTGGCAGGACACGGTAATTTTCCACCTGCCCAGTTTTCCTCGTTGAAAAAGTTGGTGTCCCGCTTCCAGTGCTTAAAAACCTGCCCGGTTGAGTTTTCTGTTGTTGTTTTATGATGAATGGATAAAATGTACATTAATGATTGTGGTACAAAGTTGCACTCAATTTCAACCAAAAAAATTATTTTTGTAATAATACCTTTACATTTTCATTATCTTAACTTAAATTTTCTGCCCTTAAAAACAAATTACATCGGTGTGAATTCAAAGTAATATTTCACTTGCTAGTGAATTTGCTTGCAAAAATAGAGTTACATAGAGGTATGTTTTAAAACATACAAAGAGCTGTGCATACCGGGCGTCTCCTTGTCAAAATGAAATAAGCAAGGTTCTGTAACCTGCCCTCCTTAAATTCTTACCTGCTAATATAGCTAATAAACATGTTAAAACCAATGCCGCATTCGATCCCATGCTTGACTTCGTTTTCCTGAACAAAACTTACAAATAAATACTGAGGAAAAGATCTCTGGTATAGCACCAAGATGAAACATTCACTACTATTTTCGAGGGGTGGACGTGACTAGAAAATATCCAATAAATGTTGTGCCCAGTAAGCACCCTGGGATTCCGTCGAATATATAAACAATGCATCTTACATTTACCAAGTTGTACCCACGTGGACAAAGTTAGGATAATCGGGGTATCCAAATCTGGGAATGTTTACTGTGTTATGGTCCCCCTATTTAGTCTTGAGTGTGTGGTAAATTGCTTCTTACCCTCCAAAGAATTATCAGTTAGACGACTGATTTAAGGGTCTATTCGGTAGTGAATATTTCAAGTGGCTGTTAGTGCCAGACTGGTCATCAGATAAATACCTTGGTTTTAAATAACATCAATGTTGCAAATATTCACGATTAGGGTTGGTCAAAGTTCAAGTGGCTTCATTCAATGCAGAAGTACCAATAAATCCACTCACAGAGGCATAAATATTCAGTCCACCGTTCGAAACACCCTTATCTCCATATTATGAAATTTCATATTGAAGTGAACCTCGCTATATCTTAAAACTTGAACGAAATTACATCTATTTCATTAGCGAAATATTAATTGTTGTAGTTACGGAATCAGATAGTAAGTGGTGCACGAAAATTAAAGAAAGTGTATAACAAGTGTTAAACATATATTCTGTTTCATTTTATTTCATCTATTGTCATTTCATTGTAGATTTCTTTCGTTTTATTTTTACCTTTTTTTTTCAAATTCGCAGAAATACACAATAACGAATTGATTCTAACTTTACATTAAATTAGCGCCGATTAGAACTCCAAGTGACTCAGTTCACTGTTCCAAAATCGTGTTACTCATTTTGATGGCAATTAAATTGTGGCAGTGGCCAGTGTAAGTCAAATGGTGCTGTCACCACCAAAAGCATCGCCGTATCCAGGGTTACTGAATCCATATGACGTGTCCGCCAGCTTTGTTGGATCGCCGAACACGCTGGCCTGCAAGATACCATGTAGCACCATTATGTTAAACACATCTCCAATATTGTGCAAACATTAGAAAAAAGTTAACTTTGTCTTAAAACGATCGTTTAAATTAGATAACTTGACTGCATAGATAAGTATGTCAAACATATTAAACGTATTTAAATCGTTAAAAGTTAAAATAAAATTCGCCAGTAAAAATTTTAATGGGTAAAGTCCACATTTTTCATTCAAATAGGTCAGGTAGGTTTTACTGTTTCACAAGCTTCAGGAAGGCAAGAAAACTTTTGATATGATTTAGACACACAATTTCTTGCTAAAAGAGCACGTCAACGTTTAACTCACCGAGGCCGATTCGTCATACACGGGGTTATCAAAGCCCACGTCGCCTCGATGAACGTCGGCAAGTTCAAAATCTGTCTTCTCGTCCAGAACGAACCATGCCTTGCGCCTTAAACGATTGAAAAAAAAAAAACGTCGTGGTTTACAAAACATTCAAATACTTTTCGAAGGGTATTATTTAATTTTATTAGACCAATTAGCTACCTAAATGACTAGATATAAGGATGCACTGCATCAAAAAGTTATTGACACATCAGAAAAAAAAAACGAAGGTAAACTACAATGCTGTGCCTGACTGGCTGATTTCGCGAAAAAAAAACAAACAAATATACATTTCTCAAATACATTGCAGTTGTTGATAAATAGAATTTACTCACTGTCTTTGTATAATACAAATTGAGGTGGTAAGCAAGATGACGAACACCACGGCGGCAGCGCCAATGATAATGCCTGTTACTGTGTCCACTCCAAAATTACCTCCAGCTGGAGCTGTTGAAAACATTACCAGATAGGAAAAGTGTAACCGTTGGCATATTTCAAATTAATCGAAAGAACCGTTTTACAGCATTCTGCTGACACAACTATATTAGACTGTGACCTTCACTTAAAGCATTTTGTCTTACTTGGTTACTTTTACTGCAATAATAATAATAATAATTATAAATAACTTTTCTACTAAATTTTTTAAGGTAATTTCGAAGCATATTCTTATCATACAAGCAACATTTATTTTTTTTGTGTGAGTCCAGACCTGTTGGTTTGCATGCTTACCAGAAACCCCCTGTGGTGTAACGGTACCCGGAGAGACCGTGGTGGAAACTGGGGCACCAGTTGGACGTGGACCTGTGGTGCTCGGAGGTGTCGCCTTTGTGGTGGTACTGATAGAATTAGAACTGGTGGTGGTGCTACTTGTCCTAGCTGGGGTCGTGAGAGTGATGCTCCTGGTAGAAGAAGTCGATGGACTGCTTTTCTCCGTGCTTACTGGTGGAGTAGGTTTGGGTGTGGATGTTGTACTGCGGGGAGTTGTAGAGGGGGTTGTTGTTGTTGTTGTGGGTGTGGTTGATGTTGGTGTTGTAATGGTTGTGGTGGTGCTAGTAGTAGTTGATCTTGTGGTTGTAGTGGTTGGCGTGGTTGTAGTGGTAGATGTGGTTGTGGTAGGGGTAGTAGTGCTGGTCGATGTGGTGGTGGTTGATGTAGTGGTAAGCGGGTCTGATGATTGCATTGTAAAACTGTCAATACCATATCGCTTTTCGCCTTGTATATCTGGAATTAGAAAATTTAATTTTCCTCAAACACAAAGGGTAGTTTGTGGATTTCGGAACCGCAAAACACTCAACTATTTCCCAGTAATTATCAATCCACAGATTATAAAATTGAAAAATTCAAAAATCGATAGTCTCGAGCCTTTATAATAGATATCTGTTAAGAACACATTTTCTGAAATTAACTTCTGCCATGGTAAACTTTACACAAGTTATATGCATTTTAAGCAAGGGATTTAACCCAAAACTTCTTTTAGTGTGTAGTACAGTGCGTCATAAGACTTAATAAAGGACTATCCCCGTCGTAACTGCATGCAAAATATAGGGGAATGATACCTCGACACTCTTAAGATGAATGACAATAAATAATACTTTTGTTATTACTTGTATAATGCTATCAAGAAATCAGAAAAAAGAAAATAATAAATTAAAGATAAATTAAATTTAACAATTAGTTAAAAAGTCGATACCTTCATCTAACTTTTGTCTAAACCAGTAACCAACAGGGATAGCATTTCGTCCACCATTATTATCGGCAAGAACCAACTGAATGACGTCATCAGAGCGCTTTGACATCATGACTTGAACACCAGCGTAAAGATTTGGCTGGAAATAATTTTCGGCTTTTAGCTAAATTCAAAACATTTGACAATAAAGTTTGTTATATGAATGTCATAAATTTGTAGTTACAATTTTTAAACAATTTATTATACTTATGTAACTCGAATAGATTGAGATAAGAGGAGAAAAAGAAATGAAAAAAAATTTACCTCGGAATTGACTTTGTTTTGAATTACACTTCTCACGTAGGAAAAGTGAAAGTTGGGGTTAAAATTCATCTGAAACATAGCACCTGAAAAAAAAAGGAAATGGGAGTGAATTAAAGATGTTCAATAAAAAAATGAGCATCAAAATTGAAACAACGGTCTTCTGTTTTCAAGCGTTGATTTCTGTAGACACTCTAATATGATCGCTAACTAATATTCGTAGAGAAGGCTGTAAATCTTGGGCTTCGTAATTCTGAGCCACGTGACTTACCGCACACGTGACAACAGTGGCCCGTGGGTTGAAATGGGCGAAGGCACCTTGTTACTTGACAATGGCCTCGTTGAAAGGAACATATCTTGTCAATGATCTACAAAATATGAAGTTTAAAACATTTTCATTTTAACAAAGGACAATTTACATTCATTTTGAAATTCCACATGGATGTAAGTTTCTATGGAGAAATCTGTAATTTGGTTTAGAAATGAAGTAATAATTATTTGTGTGTAAAACAGAAGCATAATCTTGAAACTCCTGATGAGATATTTCAAATTTTAAACGATTACCTGACTTTGGTCATTGCCACATTTGCAGCCTGTAAAGTCACTGCACGCTCGTTCTGGAGAGATTGATATCGGAGAAGTGGAACGTGAAACAAACTGTCTTCGCCCATTAGGAGTAGCAAGATACTGTTGAAAATCATTCGTTGTATAGACCTAAAAATGTAAAATACGTGACAAGTAAAGCATAGGTTGAATGTAACACGTCTGGATGTCCCATTAAAAGATGTTAATAACGATAACGAGTACAAATAAGAACAGAACCACCCAAAGTTTAAAACTAACAATTATGATAACGTCAAGCAAAATCTTTGTTGTACTTAAATAACCCTATACAATTAATCATATGGAGACCATAAACTTAATATTCACCTGTCTCCCAATCCTGAGAGATTTAACATTTATAACTGCTGAAATGCTCAAATCCACGTAAAAAGTTTTGTCTGGTGGGAAAATGACGTCATTGTACTGGCAGGGGATTTTCTCCGTATCCAAAAGGTCTGTAGATCTTCCACACTGGTCGTCGTTTTCGTGCAGTGCTTGGCACCAGTTAGAGGGATCGAACCAGCTTTTGGGTTGGGTTCGAGTGAAATGCATATCTAAAATGATTGCAATGATGAGAACTTGGTATCGAAAAAGAAATATGATATGTCCATCTCCTTCTCCGCAACCTCCTGATACTTTCACTTTCACTTCCAGGTACTTTCCTGATACTTTCACTGATGCCTCGTTTATGAATTAATTAACTATTCTTTTAACCNNNTCCCCCCCCGGTAAATGCGTGAAACGTTATTTCTTTTGTTGAAATTGCACCAACATACCCTGCGGTGCACAAGACGGGTCCGGCCTAATACAATTAATCATATGGAGACCATAAACTTAATCTTCACCTTCTCACAATCCTGAGAGATTTAACTTTTACAACAGCTGAAATGCTCAAATCTAGGTAAAAAGTTAAGTTTGGCGGGAAAATGACGTCATTGTAAATGCGTGAAACGTTATTTCTTTAATTGAAAATACTCCAACCTACCCTGGGGCGCACAAGACGGGTCCGGCACTGGATTGCTGGTGAACGGCATGGTGATGTCATTACCAAGTACTAATATCCCGTCGGTGGGAAGAACCTGTTTGAAAAAAAATCTAATCATTTATGTGAAATGAAAAATTAACTTTTGATTATATGGTATTCATACTACCAACCTTTTTATTGAGCTGTTACAGCTACATAAAGATTGACCTTGGCGGTTTGCGTAATAACATTCTCATGACGTCAGGACCAGTTTTCTACATGTAATAAAATGAACAAAAGATATGACTGGCAGCCATAATCTTTTAGTCCAAACGTTGACCTTACACCTTGTGATATACGTAACCAGCTTAGACCTTACCATCTCTGTGAATGTAGCTCCCTGGTTCATATACACGATAGGGCCTAGCCCTGAAGGGAACAGAATACGGTTCCCAGAACAATTCACATTGCCATTTCCTTCCCAGTTGTCTCCATTGAAGAAGTTAGTGTCCGATTTCCACCTTTTGTAAGATTGTTCAACGCTGTGGCCTGAAAAAAAAAATGAATTAGAAACGATAATGGAAAATGATTAAAGCATTACGACCATTGGATTGAAAATTAAATGGCCGAAATGGTCAATTTCATAAGTAAATAAATAAACAAGACAGATATTTAGTGCTCAAGGAAGCAGTCGCGCAGGACGCCTTTGTTAGCACCGCCATCTTCAAACCTTGTAAAATCATCTCTACGCTTGTCTTCGATTATGTAAGTATGATACATCGCTTGTATACCGGTTGTGAATGGATAATTTACTTACCAGTAAGAATCCAGATCATACAGAAGAAAACAAGCTTCGATCGCAATACCATCTTTCTAGGCTAGTTACGAAAACGCCATACGTGAAAACGCATAAAAACAGAAGCATGCCACAAAGTCCAAAGTTTTCACCGAGATGATAAAACTTTTGAAGTACACTATAACAAATCGCAAGCCTCTCTGCGTGTACCTTTAGTTGGGTCATTGATCATAAAATTATATACCCCTGTTACAGTACTTTATAGTGTTTAACACACGCCCCCTGTGCTTGGCTGTCTCGTCGCCAAATTCTATGCCTTAAAGTGCAGTGAATCCATGCCCCTATACCTGAAGCAGAACACCATTTAGCAACAATGACTACACGCTTGGCGCAAATAAGGGGTTTAAGTGCTTCATCACGATCGCAAACTACAAGTGAAGAATTTAATTCAAGGACACGTGGATTACAGTCACGTTCAGAACGGTTTTAACCAACACTGTTTCAGCTTCAGGAAGTAGACACTTGGTTTAACTTCCTGCTAGTCTAGTTTATTCTGATACTGGGCTGTGCAACATCTAAGCATACAGTATCATTTGAAGTAGGGAGGTTAAATAATAGAAAGTTAAGGTCTCTTCAGCCAAAAAAAAAAAAACCGATTTCTTATCGTCACAGGCCGCGACCTGTTTTTGTTTCATTACAGACCCGTAGCCGGGAGGGGGGCTTCGGGGGTTAGAAAGAACTGCTCTTTTTGTCAGGAAAAGGTCCATTCTGGGCAAAATTTGATCAAGGTACACTAAAGTTTCATTGTAAAAAATACACTTTTTCGGAAAAAGAACCCCCCTTTTAAAAATTGCTGGGTATGCAGGGCCTGCATAAAATAGTTGGGATGGGTCTGTGTCGATGTGTACTTTACCCGCCATTGTCTTCACCATGTACATCTTGACGTGAGAAACGAATCTCGACTGCGTTTTTAATTTTAAATAATTAAAACAAATTAGAATATATCGCAATGCCAATTTAGGGAAAGTCTGCACAAGGCATAATTTGCTGGAACACTCTTGAAATTGCTCATCAAGCAACTCGTGTTTTCATTTCTACTTTATAGATTTTCACTCATCTTTTTCGCTCAACTGCATGCAGATATAAAAATTGTCAGCGTTTGGG